ATGTTGTGAATGTTGAAAGCTTAGATAGCTTCAAAGAGTTTTCCAAATATTGAAGAATAACCCATCCAAACCTAACATAAAAATAGAAAAAGTCAGCTATTTACTATTGGTTATGAAGAGAGATGGGGAAAACTGACTTGGTGATCAGAATCCAATTTTACTGTGGGCTACATAAGCTTATATACCATTCTAGGAAAGCTAGTAATATTTTACTTCAATGATTGGGTTGAACATCATACAAACATATAGACATACATGTGTATTTCAACATTGATTCAATCTTCTCCCCACCAGGCTTGATTCAATCTTCTTGCAATCTTCAAAGCTCTGTTTGTTCCTGCCAAGGTATCCTGACTATCATATCTCTTTTGCTAGTCAAGTCCAAGGTGCTTTCTGATTTCACCATATCTCCTCCTTCCTTTTCTACCAAAAATATTCCCTTGATGGCTTTATTAATTAACCTCTGGGTACACTGAAGTGAACAAGGTATGAGAATTAATACAAGTATTATCAAAATCAACATATGCATACTTATTCTAAACAAATCTTTTATCCAGGGTGTTAAACCCCAGCCACAAAACACGTTATCTAGCTAAGATTCAGATTCTATTTTTAGTTTAAACACATTATTTTTTAGTTGCTATATGCCATTATGGATAGATTCTGAGTTATTAAACAAGTCGAAAATGGATTTTCTGGGGAGGCAGTAGCTAAGCATAGGGGATCTTGTTTTGTTACATTAGCTAGAGTTATCAGAACATTTGTTTTGGGTTCGTTAACAGGCTAGGCTGTCTTAGTAAAAGCAAGCAATGTTAATAATCATAAGCGTAGCATTCAATTTAATTCTATCCTTTTTTTCTTAACTACGTTGTGGCAAAGACTTCTTTTTGGATTTTAATTTTCTAGTATATCTTTTAGCACATTCATTTTTTTGTTTTTTCCCAAGCTTGTTCAGGGACTGGCCAAATCTAAGGCACTAAGTTGTTTTGTTTGCACTCTACTTTGCAAATATGGCTCTTTTTGGATTCCCATAACACTTCTCTTATGAGGATAGAGAGGCGAGGGCTATCCTCTTTCTTGTGGCCTACTACAATTAAAAGTTCAGTGGCTTTATACTTTATTTGTAACTTAACATCATAACACGATTCACATTATGTTGTTGTATTGTATTGATGGTTTTGCTCCCCATTGTATGATGTTTAATGGTTTGTTCCCCTCTCCCCTCTGTTTTTGTTGCAATGTGTTGTCAGTTGCACAACAGCAGTTGTCAATCCTGCTGTGTTCCCCCTATCCCCCTCCTCTGGGTGTTGTCTGTCACCGGGTACTCCTCCCAGCTTCTAGAAAGCCTGGAGAGAGTCAATCGAGTGAGGCAGGGACGGGGGGGGGGGGGGGGCCCCCCCCCAAAAACCCCCCTTTTTTTTTCCAAA